AATACAAAATACAAGCGAAGGATACACATACTTAAAACAGAGCTCAGGAGCAGGTATGCAGTCCTGGGAACCCTTCAATAAAAGCAAAGCAGGGTTTTGTTATTTTTTTTTTTTCCTTTCTTTGCAGGTACATACAGAGACTGGAATATGTAAAATTAAGTAGCACAAAAGACCATCACACAATTCTACCAATGTATGTTGCATCTATAAATTCACGAACATGGTCAACAGTCATGTTCACTTCAACCCCTTAAAAAAAAAAGCGTTGTTTTTATTTTAAATAAAGCATTAATGTTACATTCAGACTTAACTCCTAGTACCATGCGGTAGATCTCGGTATTGTCAAGGCATTGCAAGAGCCGCCAACCCTATCGGGCCCAGTGATGACAGCCACGCCTGCACACACCCCGGCCACGGGCCAGCAGCACCGAACGCTGTTTGCAGCTGCCCCTTCTTCTGTCTGCTCTCGAGATTAAAAAAAAAAAAAAATATATTAAATGGGACGGGGAGGGGAACTGCAAAGAGCCTGATTTTTAGAAAAGCTCAACAGGGGATTGCAAATACTCAAGACAAATAGTCCTTGCATACCATATAATGATGCCTTGCTGATAGCCAAAGGCCCAAGGCCCTACCTGGAGTCTCCTCCTCTACCTTCAAAGAGATTATTCAGGGTTTGCTGTGACATGATGTTCATGGTTAAACAAAAATTATGTAGCTCTTATTTACAATTTTTTGTAACAATTGCTTCTGCAGGAAAAAAAAAAGTAAAACTCACAAATCTTCAGAACACAAAGGGAATAAGATGTCAGACACTCCCATGCGCGCACTCACACCCGCGCACTCACACACAAAATACTTCAGGGGCTTTTACACACATTATTCTGGCTTAAGCTGATTGAGTATTTCTCCATCCCACCCACTACCCCTCCCAAAATATATATATAAAAAACCCTTGCCCCAATATACAAAGCATATGCACAATGGTGTTTGCAGTCACACTGAGCATGCTCAGACCGATGGACCCACTCGATTCACCGCGGCTGAAGGGGGCAGGCAGTCTAGAGAGTCACCTCCTATAGTGGTCGATACACAGAGTCAGCACATCGTGAGAACCTGACTAGACTTCGAAATATTTGTGTTCTTTTTAATAGAAAGAGTTCAATGAAAAGACATTCAAATGCCAGTCATCTACTGAAGTGGGAAGTCTAAAACGAGGATACACTTGGTTTGGGGAGGTCTCGAAAGGACACTGTCATCTTTCAGAGCTCTGGTGTTCCTCATCGGACTTTAAAAAAACCCAAAAAGTCATCTTGGACAGTAAGAACACAATAGTTAGTTTTGCTTCCTAGCTTCATTAGCAGAACTTGTATTTAAACCTCCCAAAACTGTAGGAAAATATTCAAAGTTCAGGGAAAATTTTCTCTTTGATCATATACATATAGAATATATAATTTCTACTTATAGATGTGAGTCCCCCAAACTAACATATCCTATATGCCAGCAACTATTTTGTGACAGTGTCCCTTTAAATATCCATCTGCTTACACTTCCATATCCTGCCTCCCCCAACAGATGAACATCCACTTCTCAAATATTAAACTCATGGATCAGTTTGTAGTTTTTAAGAACCACGTGTTCAACAATATGATCTGTTATAAAAATAAACACTTCACAAACAAATTACATAAAGCAAAGCACCAGTTTCTACAGCTCAAAAGCTTCCAGCATGTTACAGTTTACTTCCCTCCCTCCTTAACCTGGGTGCCTCAGTGTCTATTGTACCTTTGTGACCATCACCAGCAGAGGGGAAGAAAAAAAAAAAAAAGAAAAAAGAAAAAAAGGAATTCAAGCACATCTTCTGCCACTGCCCTGGCAGCCCATCACCTGCGGATGCAGCCGAGCAGTGGCACAGGAGCTGAGCACGCTCAGAACCGTTACCTGGCGGCGGTGAGGTTCCCTAGCAGAAGTCACCCAAGGTGTGCTGCTTCTCTCCCCACGCTCTTCTGCTTTGACGAAGTTAAAACAACAAAATTAAAAGCTTCTTGGCTGCCCCATTTCTAAGCCTCGCTCTCACCCACGATCCATTCTGAAACCCATTTAGCTTGACACGTTTGGCTTTCTCATGCTGATCAAACAGAAACCAAAGCAAATAATCTTTAGTATGCAATTCCAACTAAAGTTGCAAAGTTTTACTGATCGTCAGTTAAAGGCAGTAATACTGGCATATAACTGCAGAACTGAACGTGGTGGTGTGGATTCAGAAACAGAACATATGAAAGGATATACAATGGAAGTTAGTGATGAACTACCATTTTAAGAGTAAGACCAGGGCAGGGCACTGGATTAACTGAATTTGGGAATAAATCCATTTACCTCTCTGCAAAGGCTCCAAAACTACAGCTGTGTAACAGAAGACAATCTTTTCAAAGCTTTCTTCTGTGAATGAAACTTTCTGCTCCATGAAGAACTATTCATGCTCCTAAAGAAAGGCATTTTTACAGCTTTCCTTCAAGAAATCAGAATGCTTAATGCAAAGTAATTTAAAAGGACATTTAAAAATGTTAAGTCTGCTGCTACTGAAAAATGTTGTGTACTAAAAAAAAAAATAGTAACCTTCACAATTTTCTTCTATCTGTAAAAATGTAAACTGCTGGATTTCTAATAGAGTAACCAAGAGACCATTAGGGCTTAGTGTTTGCACAAATCAGCAAAACAGTAAGATATAGAAAAAGTTACAAAATCCCAGAAGTAGTACAGGATTTATATAGTGTTTGGGTTGTGACAAACTCAAAGATAAGCATCGTGCAGCCTGTAACAGCCATTAGAGATGAACACATGAGAAAGCAGAACAGTTTTGTAAGATAAAGGGCCAAAAATGCCAGGCATAAAATAATCCAGTCCAAAACCTGAACTGAGAACAACAGAATGGTATTTTTCACAGCCTTCAGTTAACTGTGTTAGGAAAAAAAAAACCAAAAACAACACAAAAATGTATTTTTAAGTGGAACTTACAAAATACACTCGTCAGAAAAAATCTGGTCTAGCAGGTAAAGAAACAGCTGTTTGAGCAGATCAGCCAGAGGTATTCTATGTTTAAGTAATCCTTGTACATTTTAATAGCAAAAAAACCCTAAGAACCCAATAGACAAGAAAGCTTGCATCAGTCTGGACTGAAGGGGAAGAACTATGTGGACCAGACATTCACAAAAGTGTATGCTACCCCCAGATTTAATCCAAATGTTTTTTAAAACTTGGCCATTTATTTTCCCGTATTACCCAAGAAGCACTGGACTAGGAGTGGAGGGAATGCAAGAGACTCTGCTCTCCCAGAGATCTGGAAGGTGGGAAGAGGTGTGGGAGAGGAGAGGGGATTACATTCGCTTCTTTTTCAAGACTGATACTTCCCTCCGGCCTTAAGCTGTTCTGCAAAATTAAACCACTTTAAAAAAAGATTTACAATGGAAACACTGATCATCTTTATTGTAACGGCAACAGTAGTTTCATTATAGTAAAGAATGTTAGAGAACTTAAATTTTTATAAGCCAAGGTAAAGTAATTTACCAGCCTCAATAAAATCCATGGCTATGAATCACACAAGACAATCACTCGGCTGTTATATTAATATTCCGTTCCACATTTTAGGCTCCACACTGTGCTCAGCATCTTCACGCTCCCTATGCCATTCAGCCAAGTGTCCTTCCTGGTCATATTAGTGTATCACATCTAAAAGCTCTCTAAAATCCAAACAGGATTAAAAATCTGGTAGCGTGTGCACCAGAAATCCAACTAATTAGCTGCCTTATGTTACCTTCGAGAGGCTGGTTACAAAACGTGTACTTCTGTGACAAAAGAGATGCAAAGCTTGTCAGCTATAACTGTGAGCAACATACAGAAAGCACAAAGGGTTTAAGAAAAAAAAAAAAAGAAAGAAAAACAGCAGGTCCAGTTTTCAATATTTCCACCAACAAAACATGGCAGCAACCTCTGTATTAGGGTTTGAAAACCAAGGCTTGTGTATTTTAATTAAAGTTTAAAAAAGGATATGGCTGCTTTGATAAAAACACATTAAAATGCCACCACATGCATCTGAAGTGTCTCGCATTTAAAGGAACATCCTGCTTTTATTATAAAACGATAGCCCTACTACACCGCTTCCAAACTCCGCTTCATCCCAGCTTCATCCTTTAACACTGCTCCCTATTCAGCACTTGTTAGGCTTAGGGAGCAGAACGATGACCAACAGTTAGAAGCAGACATGTCGATGTGGGAGCAAAGCCTCCCACGCTATAGGATGGAAGGATGAAGAAATGGAAGTGGGATCGGGGGAGATGTTCACTATCGATGGAAGTCTGCTGTCCAACACTGTAGCTGGAGAGGCTGAGAGGTATGACTACGTAGCCTTTCTGAGGACAGATGGAGGGAGAGAAGAGAAACACTTAAGCGTGACTCATGGGATCCGAGACTGACCAGAGCATTACAGGAATCCTTTGCTTCACATTTATAAAAGGACATCCCTCGCCCCAAAAGCTAAAGAATTTAGTTTTACTATCAATTAATTTTTTTCCTTGGAAAAAATTGAAAGACATTTTCCACAATACCAAATGGAAACCAGAGTTTTAAAAACTGTTTTCAATTTCTCTTCCCTATTCTGCCCATCTATAGCCAACCTTGGAAGAAACAAAATAGAGTTAATGGATGTGAGAAGCTTGTAGGTCGTACATCTGAATTTGTATAGAATGAACTGCAATTTGCCTAAAGCAGAATAGTATTCTATCCAGCAAAGACAAAAGATCTCGCAACCTAATTGGAGGGTCTTTTCTAAATAAAAGACAGTGGACCATCTACAAGTCTCTTGATTGCTTTCCATGAAAAACATGCCTGAATCCAAGAAACACAGGTTTTCTCCCCATGTTTCCTCTTCCTCAATTGGAATTCATATGAACTACATTTTTTCTGAGAGTGAACTTGTATCAACAAAAGTCTGTTAAAGCATAGGTTCATTTTTTCCACATATTCAAATACAGAATAATAGTTTTAAAGAACTCTTACCAGCACTGGGAAATCTATTCTACTTAACGATTTGTAAGTATGGTTTCCACGTATCAGTCTCAAACCTTATTGCTTCACAACTGCAGTATCCCTTGAAAAAAATATATATTTAAATGGTCTGTTAATTTGCCTCAAATGGCTTTCAGATTTGGTGGGGGAGGGAGAACGGAATGGCCAACAGAGAACATTGACTTCAAAATATTACTGTATAAGGGTTTCCTCTTATTAAAAAAAGGATACACTGTATTAAACAGCTGAAAGTAAAGACAGCATTCAAAGCCCATGAGTCAAGCCACAGCCAAAACCGTGTTCTACCCCTAAGTATGTTTTCTTTTCCTTTTTCTTTTTTTTCTTTTTTTTTTTTTTAAACAAAGATTTCCTCAACTGCCATTTAATCTTCACCAGAGGGTGCTTCATCTTCAGATCCCTCATCCCCTGACTTCTCTGGTGGAGGGCTGGCTGATTTTTTCTTTTCTGGGGGACTTTCAGGCTCTTCATCCTCTTCTTTGGGGGATGGGGTCTTTTCTTTTGTTGCCTTGGAAGCTGTGGGGCGGCCTGCCTTCCCTTTGCCTTTCACTGGACTGGGGGTCACTGAAAAAAGAAAAAGCTTGTAAAAGTTATGATCAAAGACAAAAAAGTCATATGGCTTTACACAAACAGGATTTACAAGACACTTCAATAGCAGGTTTCATTTTGCTTTGACCATACCACACACATGGTGTTTTTTGCACTCCGTATTAGCAAAGCTGAACTGAAAAGTTAGCTAACAAGATTTTTAAAACTATTCAATTGCCAGTCCTGACTAATTACTGGATATGGCGTCATAAACTAACACAGCTAGCCTCTTGTCAAGCCAGTACATACGTCGCTATTATGATTTTAGACCTCCTGCAGAAATGCATCACATTTTCCTTTGGTTCAGATTTCTCCACCTTCCTCCACCCTGAAAACATCACGAAGTCCGTGAGTCCCAAAGCCACAAATTGTATTATTTGGCTATGATACTCAGCAAGTCAGGCTGCAGCATCTCAGCAGGGAAGGTTTTGCAATCTACGCAGTTTTTGCCAACAAGACATAGATACTAACTCAATCTCTTAAGTAAGAATTAAAGCCACCTTACTATTTCATAGTGCTGCTTTAAATCATGGCAAGTTACATGAATTAGCCCTTCAACACTATACGTGAATGCTTACTGACCCCAAGATTTCCACTGCGTCTTCTATAACAGAAAAAGAAAATACGAGCCTCTAAAGCAAACCGCATAACTTTCTTTGCGCAGACTCACCTGTAGCCTTTAGCCTGGGCTTCGGCATTTTCTTTTCTTTCCTCTCTGGCTTGGATTTCTTGGAGACCTTTTTATTTTTCTTTTTTGAACTGCCATAGTCACTATCATCATCATCTTCCATGAGGAAATCTTCATCGCTTCCTGAATCTGCTGAAAGCACACAGAAATTTAAGTTTTTTGGAAAAAAGGAAAGGGAGCAGAAGATACAGTTGAGAAATCTGCCAGTTAAACTGCAGAGACAGGAAACTAGGACTCTGCGAGCTTACGAGCTTCCACCTGTCTGCTGTGCTTAAGAAATGTGCATAGCAATGATTTCACACTGGTAGGGATAAAGCACTAGTATGATGAAACAGGCAAGTGTTTTGAGGTCCTCAAAATATGCTCCATCTCCTTAATAAGTAACCCACCTCAAAATAAAGAGAATCTCTTGACAGGGGGAAGTAAAGCGATCTTTTCAATGGTACTCTCACTCCATTCTGAAATCATGTTTACACTCAGTATTTGAGGAACTTACTCCATCCAGTTCATTACCAGCTGAACCCACCTCTCTCTGTGCTACTGTCCTACTTTGATCCATCAATGATAAAGTACTTTTACATCACCTGAAAGTAGCATCAATGCCTCAAAACCAATGGGATAGCAAGAAGCAGCAAAAAGCATTACGAACTTTATAAGCAGCCCTAAAGGATTACTGTAAAGACATGTATCTTTGCTGCAAACTTCAAACAAAAATTCTAGATGTGAAAAATGTAAGCTTGGCCTGTTGGACAGATATGCAGTATCAAGTAAGTTACTGAGAAGGACAACTTCATTGTCACAGTCAAAAACTCTGTTCCTTTTGCTGTCTGGCCAGACCCATGAACTCATGGCTGGTTCTATACCCATGTCACATTGATTTTAACTTTTTACAATCTCATTTACTCACTCTCCTGGAATTGTGCCTCATCATCCTCTTGCTCTTCCTCCTCGCTCCCCACATCATCCATAAGCATCTCTCGTTGTTTAGAAGCTGCTTTGGATGCTGCCTGTCGTTGCTGACGCACATTTTTGTGGTCTTCTTTCTCGTCCTCGCTGTCCTCTGCAGCAAAAGTCACCAAGTTATAATGAAGATACAGAATACAGACCACCTAACTGCCCTGAGGCAGCATGTGGGCAAGACAAAGGTCAAGCCATTCATAAGAAAGTTAATCAGGACACTCATTGAATAACTGAGCTGGGAGGAGAACACGGTCACATTCAACCTAATAAGCACGTTTCTGTAGTCACCCAAGAATGACCACGTGCAGCATCTTTCTCTGCAAAGACTAGCAAGCCTTATTTTTTTTACCTGCAGGCCTTTTCCTGGATTTAGAGGCTGCTCTCTTATTCTTTTCTGGTTTAGCCTTTTTTCCTTTTTTGCTTTTTTGAGAGCTCTCATAGTCACTGTCAGCTTTGCCATCATCTGCTCCTAAGTCATCATCTTCACTGCCAAAATCTTCATCTGGAAGGAAAAGGTACGAGCATGAAGTTTCTTGTATCATTCTGAAATATGGATGAGAACTACAGGGAAGAGTTTAACACACATCTATCTACCTGTGAAGAAAAACTTTATAGCAGCATCACATTACACAAAAAGTATCTGTTATCCCAAACCAGGGCCAGAAGTAACAGCAGTAAAGGCAGCATCCGGCTTAAGATAAGAGCATGCTTCTCTACTCGGAACAATTTCTTTCCTATGCCCAATCCTGCTCCTATTAACTCTTACAAACTGGTCTTTATTTTGAAGATACGCTATCAGTACAATGTAGTGAGTTACCTGCCGAGTGTGAATCGTCTTTCTTAGTCTTCACATCTTTTTCTTCTGAATCCTCACTGAAAATGAGAGAAAGACAGGGTCTGACTGCTGTTTTAACTCTGATTTCTGTCACTGCTATACAGAAATTATCCATTTTCAGAAAGCAAACTGATCTCTAGGCTGGGAATATGCATTTTTCCTGGACATTACCATGTTACACTTCAGGATTACTCGGCTGTGTATGTAGTTATCATGGTTGGAAAGATAACATTCGAACTCTGAATCACAAACTTACTCGGAGTCAAGTGAACCAACCAGGAAATAGTAAGGTTGAGATCAATCATGCACTTCACTCTGAGACCTACCAATAATCCAGATGTCTTCCACTTTACAGTTAGAATTTTGAGGTTTTATATGCTAATGCATGGCTGAGTCTATAAATGGAATAAAGTTTTATTCTCAATAGATTTATAGTCATCACTTGTCTTTATGTCATTGTTTTCTCTGGAATCCTTCACTCTGTGTACATTGCCGTGTAGCCGTTAACTAGCACATATTTGGTCTACAAGCTCCCAAATAATGTCATCTCTGATGGAGTTTCACCACTCCCTTCCAGTGGTTTCAGTCCTCCTCAGAGGGTATCCCTATCAGGCAGGTACCAATGTTCTGTTCTTATCCAAACCCTATCAGGCATTACCACTGTCCGGAGAGGGTTTTCCTTCCAGCGTGTAAGAACACACACTCCAACCAGAGAGCAAACCAGTGTTTTAAACAGGAATGGTGCATACCCTGTTGAGGGCCACCGGTGTACAGCATATGCTTCAGGAATGGCTGAACTGCAGAGTTTGCCAAGGTCAAGAAATACAATAGATCAAACCTTTGCTACTCTCAAATTTGGCAGGTGGAGCTGACACACAACTTTTCTCAAGGACTCTAACAGTTTAGATAAATTGTCACATTACAGCCCCTCAGGCCCATATGTTTTCAGTCTTACACAGACAACTGTGGATTTCAATCACTTAAATACCTGAGTTTGTTTTACATGCAAGCCCTCTGCAATGTTTTTGATACACATAGAAGTGTTCTTACGTACTTAAAAACCCTCAAAGCTAACAGGACATCAAGGTCAACTATTTAGTTGCTTTGGGAGCTGCCTAGCCCAATTTCTTTACATGTCATACCCATTAAATCTTTGATTTCAGGTGTTACAGGCATTTGCCAGCGTGAAAATAGTCTCTCCCGCTCAGTTCACAACAGCAGGTGGACCATGCAAATATGCCCATGCCTACATTCAGCTTTCACCTTATCAAACAGGAGCGTGATGGGGAAGCCTCTTACGCGTACCTGCTGGGAGTTACCTATATTCCAGCAAACAGTGCGACAGAACAAAGAGACACCTTGGTCTTACAGGATAAGAACCAGCTGGCAGAATCTCCATCCCTGAAGCTGTCACGAAAGCAGTCAATTGACTTAATAGCTCTTAGGGCAGTCATTTGCTGACCACAGTTACTGTAAAAGGGAAGATACCTTCACTCTACAGGACAGACTTTCACTGTTCAGTAAGGCATCACTGAGAACTAAGTCCTTTCACACTGCTGGAGCAGCTCAATTATCAAACCAAGTTACTTTGTTTCCAAATTAGACAAAAACAGGAAATGGGAAACAAAGAACCACAAAACTAACAAATGGCCCCTACTCCTAACTGCCACTGTACCGTCCCATTTAATCTTTAACCACAGGAATGCTCTGAACGTACCGAAAAAACATGGAAAATGAAATGCACCTTGCCACTAACTCACCTGGGTAATTGCACTGGTGGCCAATTTTTGTAACTCGGATCATATTCCTTCCCATTCCAACTGTCTAGCTCTGGAAAGCTATTTTAATAACGAAGTACTAGTGACAAGTACTTGATACGCAATTTCTCTGTCTACTCGAATAAGAAAGAACCACCTCAGTGTCCAAGCTGGTTATGCAAGCTTTGCGATTAAGAGCTCTCTATCTTACGCTGCAGACCTTGAATTCCACTTACAATCATTCCTCTTAGAAGATACTGCTCCCCACATACAGGACAAGGTTTGGAGACATGTTTGTAACAGATGCAGTGCTTCTTTTACCTGTCCTCCTGAGAATTCTTCCCAGATCGCCTCTTATTTTTAGCCTCCCGGGGAGACGAACGGATTTTCTTGGATGGGGGACCTGAATCTCTTCCATAATCTTCATCTGGACGGGACAGTACAAAATGGTTTTGAATCAAACTCCTAGTTCCCAGCAAACTGACTTCCTCAGCTATAACTTAAACTGACCATTTCATGCACATCAAAAAGAAGCCCTTCAAAAAAAAAAAGATCACAAAGCTTCAAACAAAACTTTATAAAAGCAAAGTCCTGTCTTAAACTAGTGATTTACCTTTTCTGCTGCCAACAGCACAATAAAAATGCCGCGTACAATCAAGTCTGACACAGGAGTATTAGAAAACATACAAAAAAACCTCTCAAGAGGACACAGTATCTTAATTTTACAGCTAGTCAGAAACAGTTATTAGAAGTTAACATCCATACATATTTCTACAGGCTTTTAACAGCAAACACCTTGTTTACTGTCCTATGATGAGAAAAAGTGTGTCATTCTATAGTAGTTTACAGTGTAACTTTTTACAACTATTACACAATCCCTTATACAATATGAGTAACAGGACTACAATTAAGAATTATGCATATTTGTTTCCATTAATTATCAGTGCAACCTCACTTAGCAAACAGTAGCAGTATGTCTATTTTCTAAGGAAACAAAACATATTCCATATGGCTTCCAGAAATATTTCACTAATTCACACAGAACATACAAAGATTTTTTTTTTTTTTAGATACAATTCACAAAAATGCCTGACATTACGGGATTAATTAGAGTCCGCTAAAATAAATTGAAAACATATTTTACTGTAGAAAAAAGTGGCATCGGGGAGATTCTGCCACAGAACATAACATAGACCAAGGAAGAAGACAGTTGCTGCCAACAGCCTCAAGGCACTACAACAATACAAGCATTAAATAATAAGATTTCTATCACCATTGTTTGTTTAATACAAAACATATGAGAATCATTATATTTTCAAGTACTTATTAACAGTTCAGAGACCGAAGAGCAGAAACTCCTTAGAATTTAAGTTAAAGATGTGACTAGAAGCAAAACAATGAATATGCAAAGCAATAAATGAACGGCTCTAGCCCAAGAATATTATATTGTTAAGAAAAAAGTCATTTACCAGCATCATCTGATTCCTGAAACTGGGAGTAATCGACCACCTTCCTGTTCCTGTTAAAAAGCAGGGGAGGGGGGGAAATTAGCAATTCATAATCTCAGAGATACAAAAGCTTTCTTCAAGTAACAAGAACGTTCCATATCCTTGCTTCCAGTGCAGGATTTGTAGCCCAAAACCATCCCAAGAAAACTCATAAATAAGCCACCTATACCTCTGAAGTCAGATAGGAACACACAGCATACTCTAGCATTTTCTTAAGGAGCTACTATCATAGCCTGGATTATATTCTCGGAATTTGAAAGTGCTTTTTGATAGGTAGCACTCTCTTATGGCTCACGACTGCAGTGAGGAAGAGCCGTCTTAACCTATGCTACGTGGTTCTTTCATTATTAAAACTATACATCTATCATTATTACAACTATACTAGTGAAAGCACTATTTTAAAGCAGTATCTACACCCCGAGATTGAAGACACATTTAAAGAATGAATCAGCCTGAACTTTAAGCCAGAGCTCCCCCTAACACCCTGTCTCAAAGCTGTGATATTTAAGACTAGGATTCCAGGTATAAAACAAGTCCACAAATATTATCATGAATTAGATAAACATTTCCTAACTGCTCTTTTTTGAATTTCTGCTTCTCACAGCTCTATGTAATCATGCTTGCTCTCACACCTTTCCCCTCAAGATTTCTGTTTTCCCACATGATCCCTATTTTTAAAGCATTTTAAGTTTTCACCAGGCGCTTCTAGGAGCTTTCTCAATTAGTTACTTTGATGCTCTAACAAGATGCAAGAGAGCTGTTACAATGCTTAACTGCATCACTAGGCAGAACAACGAAGAAGATACGCATTTCACCCAAGCTATGCTTTTGGACAGCAAGTGAGCACGGACCCATACTGTCTTCACCTCATCAGCACCTTCTCTGCTCTCTAACCAAACTGAAAGTAGCGCAGGTAACGAGGCGTCATTAACAGTGCAAACGCAATGGCCAATTCCAGACAAAATCAGTTAACTACACAAGCAGCTATTACTGACACCAATGCCTCATTTGCCAACAAAATTAGATCTGTTTCTCTAACTTACCAAAACCTGAAAAACCGAAATATAAGTAATTGCTGACTACTTTCTCAGCACCTGTCCCAACTACTGTATTGACGAGACAGAACTGCCCTGTAATACAGCTGCTGAAGGGAACCGAGACAGCTACATAACTGAATTATATTTGAGTTCGAGCTGATAACGCCTCAGCCAAACTCAGACTCCAAACATCCACCTCTTAGGGCTGACATGCAATGGGAAGAGGAGGCACAGCTGAAAAAGGCACCAGAGATTCAGAGACCCCTCCACACACACTTCTTACAATCCCTTTGACCCAAAGCCAATGATGAACTTGATTTTCTAGCAATCATCACGTGAACTCACTTTTACAGCTGGAGAAGTCAGGCAAGCGATAGATTAAGTGACCTACCCAGCATCGCAGACTTGAGGACCGCTGCAAAGAGAAGCCAACACAAGCCCCATCCAGCACACGAACCACACTGCCCTTCCCCTCTCCTGCACTGCAGAGCGCGACTGTTGAATTTCACAGTCCGTTCTCATAACTGAGCTGCACTTTGTCATCAACATCATGCGTTGCTGATGAAGACTGTTTAGTTGAAAGATATCCCAAAAGTCATTGTTGCGTTCTGGCCATTGAGCCATTTGAAATAAATTATAAGTCGCCCTCCTCTACATGTACCTCTCTACATGGCTTACAGCAGCAGCCTTCAAAAGACGAAGGAGCATAATTATTTTATTTCAACCCTACACCGAGCCTCTTAAAAAAAACGCCAAAAAAAATCCCCAACCCCTCAACAAAAAAGACCAAACAAGCAAAAGGAAGGCAAGACCAGTCATTAGATTTCTACAGGCTGAATCCCATCCAAGCTTCAGAGTACGCGTGAGTGGAACAAAGTACAACAGCAACGTGCTACAGCGCACTGCTCACTCACTCACAGTCCAAATATGGTAAAATACCAATTTAGGAATACAACTATTGGCAAGGTTTGTTATGGTGCACCGTCCAGGGACTCAAATGCCTGTTCCAACAGGTAATCTTCCTGAAGATTGCCTCCTGACCCATCTCACATCTGAAAACACTAATTTTATTCTGGTTAGCATCTGAAGAACAATAGTTACTAAATAAGATGTTTGATTTGGTGTAAGTATCAGGTATTAGGGTTTTCTTCCGTCTAAAAGCATAAACAGGGAAAAAAAGTAGGATTGCCACATCCTCTGTTCTAGCAGCTTTGTAAAAAAAATGGTTTCTAACATCACTTATCTAACCAGCAAAATAAAAATTGCAATATTGCCCCCTTGCAGTAAGCTGGTCATACACAGTTTCATCTTGCTTATTTCAGTCAGAGACCCACATTAAATCACGTAGTGAAAACATGAGACAGTCAAATAAAACATTAACAGAAAACATTATCTATCTCCTTCCTCTTTCTAAGCACTGTATCCTATGTTTTCAGCTAGAAAGTGAATCCTGCTAGGCTCTCATTACCTGGTGAACAGGAGTAGTGATATTTGTATCAAAAAAAAAAAACCAAACCATACCACTTTGGCAGAAGAAAACGAGAGAAGACTGTTTGGCTTGCTTTATGTTATTTTGCAGGGCAAGGAGGAGGGTGGAGGAAAGAAGGAATATCTACACTGATATTACTGACGATAGAAACTTTCAAGTCTTCCCAACAGAACTAGGGAAGCTCACAACAGCAGAGACATCAAAAAAACTGCTCTTGCATCTGCCATTCTCCTCCCTCTATGCTCACCATTCACCCCATTCAGATCAACTTATGTTTTTCTTTAGAACTGTCAACAGCGCTGATGTGCAATGCTTAATAACTAGGAGTCTGCAAAGAGAGACGGCATCTTTTATTACACCAAGGTGATAAAAACATGGTAGATAAGTTCACTGGAGTTAAGAGCCAGAAAAAAAATATTGCTGGTGTTGTCAATGAAGAGTATCTCTTTGCCACTAGCAAAAACTACAAGATGTTAAGGCAAGCAACCAGACATAAAAATAAACTATTTGTTAAATTCAGTTAGACTGAGCATAAAAAGACAGTCTAGTAGACATCTGGGATGGATATTGTTCAATCTGGTTTAAAATATGCACTGAAATTTGAAGATAACTTACTTGGTAATTCAACTTAACATTTAAAGTGCATGTGAGAAGGAACTGGGGGAGAAAAGGCATAGAGAGGTCCCGATAGCCTAATTTTTTAGTAACAGCTGTCAGTCCAATATTTCTGGAATAAAGAGTAACTCATCAGCACATTACGTTGGAAGCACTTACTTAGCAAAGTAATACTTGAGTAATTTAGTAAGAACTCAGTAATTCTTACAACCCATACTCAAGGCCTATCAAACTGAAATGTTGAAATTATGAAAAGCAATATTAACATTTAAAAGGATCACTAAATGTCTGTATAACTGAATAAAGATTGTATAGTAATACCGTGTCTTCAGCTACTGAGGTCCCTAAACCCTCAGTCTTTGTAAGTCAACATGTCAGAATACAAACTAACAATCAGTTAGAAAGCTTTTGTTTTGTTAAAAGGGAATGCTTAGATCCCCAGATATTTCCACAGGCATTAAAATCCACAGATAAAGTCCAAGTTTAAAAAAATACATATACTACTGAAAAGCAATGCTAGGAGGAGTCTTCAAAAAGCTAGTAACTGATCTCATCATGCACTGAAGAGGAATGTTTAGGTCAAATGATTACCAGCAGAAGTCACAATCTATCCTCTCATACAATATGGCAAGTAAAATGAATTACAGATTAAATGGTTACTGAGGTTTGTTTGTTTGTTTGTTTTAACAACTACAGCATTTAACCAATACAACCATCAAACTAAGCACTGGTGAAAAAAGTCAGGGACCTTTCTTCACCTGAACCTGCGTGGTGCAGGTCTGGCACAGAGTGGTCAGTTTCACTTTCTGGTTCTCATTCCAGTTGGTAAAGGTGTCCCACTTTGAGGTCAACACATTATCAACAAATATTGCCATTAAAAGCACCCCTTTGGTGCCTTTTTTATACATAGATAGGAAAAAAGATAGATAGGAAATATTTCTTATAGGTCTTTTCAAAGTCACGCAAAACAAATATGCAGTGCTAGATTTAGGCCTTCAATGAACAGACATCCACTTACAATTACGCATCAGAAGTTGAAACATCGAAGCCTAGTGACAGTTATGTACCTAAACCACGTCACTATGGTGTTAGTCTATTTAAAAACTGGCACAACTGTACTCAGACAAGACTCACCGACTAGAGGTTCCCAATTACAGAGGTCATTGTTTGGGTCTGGACTTGGTGTAACTCCAAACGACTAGGCACTGCTCATGGTATCTGCAGAATTTTTAGGGATACACATGACTTGAAACTCCATAAAACAATTAAATGATTTATGCAGCAACAGTTTAAGCAGTCTTGTGCCCATCCTCCATTTGAACCTAACTACATTTGAGAAGATTTAAAAATACAATATAGAAATGCTCTGATGCAGAGCAGGGGGGAAAAACCAAACCCCAAAACACAAACACACACAAATCAGTTCTGCAACCTGTGTTGTTCCTGGCATTTTGATTTTTATTGTACCTCTACCTTGCTCTTTGTTTCTCTTTAGACTGAAAGTTTTCGGAGCAAGGATCGTATCTTTTTACTTATCTGGAAAGTGTCTATAGCTTATCTCTGGACACCACCACACATTATTACTCAAGTTAAATGCCAGTCCCCAGCGAACTGTTGCTTTCCTGCTACCCCATGGAAGTTTTCCAGAATCACAATATTTGTACTTTACATTGTCCAGGTACAACACTGGCAACAAGACAAGTTATATTTAATAAATACATTTTTTTCCTGCAACTAAAATTTCAAAGGACCACCCTTCTACTGTAATGTCAATGCAAGGCTGGGATTCAAGAGTTGCCAATAAAGAAAAACTAATACGTAAAGCCTTGAAGCACTGAGATAGATCAATTCATAACTGGCTTTAATCTGA